CAGCATATGTCGCAGCTCTTTCCACGGTAACACTGGCCTGATGGGGCTGTGCCGTGTGCTGCTTAATACAGTCTGCCATCAAATGCCAAGTACTTCAGAACTATTAGGAAATATGTCCAAATACATAGAATGATGCTAAGGCCCCTAAGTGGATCTCTCTTCCTTTATGAGGCATGAGAGTCACTGTCAACATAATGCTCTTTAACGAGGCACTTCTATCAGTCCCCTTGCGCCGATTCTAGGTGAAGCCATGTGGTCTAGTCATTCATCCTAAAACCAGAGATCTACAAAATAACTAAAATGAAGGGCAGGACCAGTCAGATCTCTGTATAACCTCCCCTTCCCCGCCAGCCTCATTTTCTTGTGATCTCTCTGTAAAGCCTCTTAGAGAAAAGATGTCAAGGACTAACTACCAGGGGAATGGGACGTCCTGACATCCACCACTGCCCCAGGTACGACTTCTCTGGAGGGCAATGTCTACCAGAATGATGAAGGCACAGATTCCTCCGACCCAGCAAGCCTACTGGGAGGAACTGATCCTACAGATAACATTCATGCAGACCAAGTGTTGTTTGCAATAGCAAAAGACTGGCAGCATTCTAACATCCATCAATAGGGAACTAGCTGAATTAATTAAGGCACATTAGCAGGGGCAATATCATAAAGTTGCAAAAAAACAAAAACACCAGGAAGTTCTTTATTATGTCGTAGAAATGATCTCCAAGAGATTTTGTTGCAGGAAAAAGCAAGTTGCAGAATAATACGGTATTTCACTATTACATTTTTAAAAAGAGGGGATTAAGAGCCATGTATGGTAAGGCAATGTGGCTTTAAGTCCATAAACTATCTCTAGCAGGATGCAGGAAAAACTGGCAACACTGATTTGGCTACAGAAAGAGAAACTGGGTGGCAGGTTGAAAGGAGTGGGAAGGAGCCTTCCTTCCTGTCTTTTGATTTCTAAATAGGTGAATGCATTACCTAGTCAAAAAATACTTTTGTTTTAGATGTTTAAAAATCTGATCTTCTAAAAAAGGGCAAAAATACATAATAGTCAATTTTTCTATGACTTTATGTGGTTACCAAAAAAAAAAAAAGCTGGCAAACCCAAGCATGACCTCTACTTCTGACCTCTAAAATCCAAATCTGGGAGCCCTTGGCCCACAGGCAAGATGAGATGCTCGAGTACTAACTCTCTGTGATCCCTTCCTACACTGGCTGAGATGACTAATCAGCCAGCTATAGTCCCAAACCTTTTTACAAAGATTAAATAGATAAGTGTTCACTAAATTACTTTGTTTTGTTTCCTTAGAAAACTATGTTTATGGGCCGGGCGCGGTGGCTCACGCCTGTAATCCTAGCTCTCTGGGAGGCCGAGGCAGGCGGATTGTTTGAGCTCAGGAGTTCGAGACCAGCCTGAGCAAGAACAAGACCCGGTATCTACTAAAAATAGAAAGAAATTAATTGGACAACTAAAAATATATAGAAAAAATTAGCCAGGCATGGTGGTGCATGCCTGTAGTCCCAGCTACTCGGGAGGCAGAGGCAGAAGGATCGCTTGAGCTCAGGAGTTTGAGGTTGCTGTGAGCTGGGATGACGCCACGGCACTCTAGCCAGGGCAACACAGTGAGACTCTGTCTCAAAAAAAAAAAAAAGAAAACTATGTTTATTAACAGAGCTAGGTTACTCGACAAGTCCCAGTTTGTTGAGATCTGTGTGTAACACACCAGTGCCAGGAATACTACTGGTGCTCAGTGACTATCTGTGATGAATACACGATAGGCTGGCTAGCTAGATACGGGACTGGATGAATTTGAGCCATTATTACTTGATACCTGATGCTCATGCAGCTGTGGTGCCTATAAAATGCTAATGCGACCATCATATGCCACAAGGATATTCTCCAACTAAATAAAAATAACACCTCTGGAATACTTCTACAGGTTAGGGAGATTTAAGGTCCTGACTAAAATGTGATTTCAACACTTGGACTTCACTGTCTGCTTTTATCGCAGTTAATCAATAATGGACTATAGCAAAACCCCACTTCTGTATCAGATACAAACAAAGATAAACCAAACTCTCTGTTCTCATAAAACCTTCAACTGAATCCTAGATACACAGGCCAGGGGCACAGCACAAGCCCCAGTGTGTAGATAGCTCCAGGCAAACTCCATTGCTAATAGTCTCACACAAACCTAATAAAACATGCTGGGACACATACTGCCACCAGGCTGAAGAACAGATATGGCCAAAACATGGTATTCGCAAGCAAAGTGACACTGAGCCTTGCAATGAGACTATTTGGGAATTATGACATCACATTATAGCACAGCAGAATGACACTAAAATCTCAGAGAAGCCGGGTGCGGTGGCCACGTCTGTTATCCTAGGACTCTGGGAGGCCCAGGTGGAAGGACTGCTTGAGCTCAAGAGTTCGACACCAGCCTGAGCAAGAGTCAGACACCGTTCCTACTAAAAATAGAAAAAAAAATTAGCCGGGCAACTAAAAGTAGAAAAAGTTAGCCAGGCGTGGTGGTGTGCACCTGTAGTCCCAGCTACTCAGGAGGCTGAGGCAGGAGGATCACCTGAGCCCAGGTGTTTGAGGTTGCTGTGAGTTAGGCTAACACCACAGCACTCTAGCCTGGGCAACAGAGTGAGACTCTGTCTAAAAAAAAAAAAAAAAAAAAAAAAAAAAAATCTCACAGAGCCACCCATGACCTGGCTTAATTCAAACGGAAATGACAATTATGTTATGTAGATTTTTCTGAGAAAACAATCAGATGGTAAGTCTCGCCTCCGCAAAAATAAGTAAAGTTACATAGATGAAGCTTGGCATTCATCTTATTTTTGAGTGAGTAGCATTCATGTTGGAGAAACATCTCAATGCAAAGTTATTACCAGCACTGCTAACAACCAGCCATTCACCCACACAAGTGTTTGGAGGTTTGGTGTTGTACTCACAAAATATTTGGATGACTAAATGCTACTGTCAGCTTTCAAAGAGATATTTAGAAACATTCTTGTACCAAATTTACTACCACTCTTAATTTTAAAACACCAATGAAAAATACCAGGAAAGCAGTCATTTGAGGGACTATACATTTTTAAACAAGAATTTTCATAAAATTAATACATTAATCAGCTCATTCTTATAATCAATGCTTTTAGTTGGGTTGGAAATTTTGAGAGGAATCCAAAAAAACGCCTACTTACACCCGTATTTAAAACATCCTCCCAGACTAATTTTGTGTTGAACTATCCCTTTAACTAATTTCTCAAATGTATCCACTACGATTGTATCACTACAGGAATAAATCCATTCAGATAAGTCAAAGTGAAAAAGGACCTGCCAGATAAAGAATTTATTAAAAAGATGAAAATTTTAAACCAGACTAGTATTGAATATAATAACTACCACCTCACCACACTGAGAGCTCTAAAAATAAATGAGATAACAAAAACTTGAAAGCATACCAGATGAAAAATTACAAAGCGGTCTCTTCTCTCTCAACAAATGAGCTCACCTGGGATCAGAAAAGATTTCAGAGGTGGAGAAAGGAAACTGCCTTAGGAAACCAATTCCTATACCTTCCCCCACCTTCCTGGGAAGTCAAAACGTAGGAGTTACAGCATCGCAGCCTTTCCAGCTAAGAAACAATGGATATCCTCCCACAAAATAGGCTGACTTGAGCTCAAAGGGAGCAGTTTCTCAAGGTGAAATTTCAGTACGACATGCATGTTTTCTACTGCTCAATCCGTCTTCCTGGATGAAGAATATGCCACTGGAATCCAGGATGTTTCAATTCTTAAGCATTTACTAGGTTGCAAAACCAGTGGCATCTACATAAATGAAAGGTCAAATACGTGGGGGAAATAAGATGTAAAAATCACCACCAGATGCCAGAATCGAACTATGAGTGGTAGAACTAACAGGAAGCACACAGTGACAGGTAAGTCTCACAGCCAGGCACTATGTTTAAAGCTGTACATACATCTTTCCATTTATTCCTACAACTCTATGAAGTGGGTACTATTATGAACTCCATTTTACAAATAAGGACACTGAGACATAAAGAGGGGGTCTGCTGACTTAAGAGATGTTCCTTCCCAGGAACCCCACCAGCTGCCAGAAGAGTCAGCAGCAGGCAATTGCAAGAAACACAAATGAACAAAACTTTATCCCTCTCCCCCCTAATCCCACTGGAAGAGAAAGAGTCCTATAAATCAGCTTTTAGACTAAGTACTTGGCCTACGGTCACGATAGTAAGATGCTAGGGAGTGATAAAATAAAGTCATCATTCAAAGAGTTTCACTTACAAACTTGTCTCCCTGCTCTGGCTCAGAGTGTGTCAGAAGGTACTTTTATGCACTGTTGGAGAGAATGTAAATTTTGATGCAACCTTTTTAAAGGGCAATTTAGCAATGTCCATCCACATCTCAAGTGCACATCCTAAATACATGCTACACTAGGACTCAAGCAAGTTGCAATATGCATTGCAGCGTTGTCTACGGTAGCTCAAACAGTGAAAGCAACCTAAATGCCTACCAGCAAGGGGACTGGCTAAGCAGGCTATAGGCTGTGAGCACATGCTGGATTCCTTGGGAGAAGGACCTGGAGAAATGCTAACATGGAATGCGCTCTCCAAGGTATATTACTGAGTAAAAACACTGAGTACAGAACACTACTTATACTATGATCCCACTTCTACAAAGGTATGTTTCTAGTGGACGAACGTACCTATATATGCATTAAATTTTTCTAGAGGGATACCTAAAAGCTGTTAATAGTTTCTTCTGTACAATGAAGTTGAGAGAAGGAAGGAGAAAGAAAATAATTATTTTTCATTTTACATCCTTTTGAAGTGCTTGAATTTTTTTACCATGCTGATATGCTGCCCTAATACATCTAAAAAGAAAAATGGTTGGCTTTTTTCAATTGCCTTCTAAAAAATACAATCTATGTTCTTTTTTGTTAATTGTACATCTTGCTATTTTTGTACCTTGTTTCCTTCGTACACCCATCCCAGACTCTTCACACCAAAAGCAACCTGGTTGGCTGAGACATCTAGACACGTGACAGGCTGGCCATAGACGTAGTGGAGGGTTCTGGCTGAGTCTTCGGCTTTTAGCAGGTATACCAGATCTCCAGCAGTGGCTACTGCCACAGGGTACCTTCCAGTATTTGGAACTATTTCAAGGTAGTCAACCTATTAAAGGATAAGAAATGTTTAGTCCTACAAATTCACCCTGACTTGGTCAAAAATATGCAATTCCTCCTACATATCAATAAGACCAGCAACCCAACAGAAAAAGACAGGCAAAGGGAACACTCACAGGAGATGAAACACAAACAGCTCTTACACAAATGAAAAGATGAGCATCATAACACAAACATAAGACTTTCCTAAAAAGAGAAATACCAAAGTAAAAATTCATTGAGATAGGATTTTTCGCCTGTGGTATCAGTAAACGTCAAGAAGTCTGACAGCACACTAGAGGCTGGAAGTGAAGGGGGAACAGCCATGTTTGTGGATCCCATTTAATGTTGGTGGGGACATAATCTGATCCAACTTCTATCAAGGGGAATCGGGCAACATTTATCAAAATGCCAAATGCACATACACTCTGACCCAGCACGTCCACTTCTAGGAAGTTACTTACAAATAAACTCACGCGTATGCAAAATGATTGTGTATGAGCATTCGTGTAGTACCACGTTATCCGTACGTGTAGTACCGTTATTCGTGTAGTACCACTTTGTCAGAGCTGAATACTAGAAAAACCTACACATCCACTACTAAGGGACTAATTGAGTAACCTTACAGGACGTACGTACATTGGAATACCACACAGCCATAGAAGACAGCATGAAGACATTCTTTATAAACTGATAAAAACGGGATAATCTCCAAGATAAATTTGGGGAGGGAAGCAAGGAAGCAAGGTAACAGGATCCCCAGAGTGCTGACGTGTGCACGAGGTCGGGGCAGAGGAAGTTTACACGGCACTGAGCTTGCACATGCATGAATCTTCTAACAATGGCTGCCTTCAGGAGGGAAATGGGCTGTGGGATGGGACAATAGGGAGATTTCCCACTGCCAACCTTATTCTCTCTTTCAAATTCTGAACCATGAGGGTGCAATAGCAATTTTCAAAAAATAAAAGGGTTTTCTTTTAAAAAAGAAACTGAATAAATAAAATTAATTCAGCTTCAAATTAGCAAAAAGCTCATTTTAACATTTATGCAAATACCAAAAATGTATGGCCAAAGGTTAAAAGTTTCTGAGTTATCTGCTCTCTCCTGGTCTCAATGTCATGCTGAGATTCCACAGAGGGTCCATTTGGCCAGGGCAGGGGGGCCGCTACAAACAAAAATTGTCCCTACCACCACGGCGCTCCTGACTGCACTTCTGCAGGCACTTCCTCTAATTTGCACGGGTGTGACAAGCACCTTTCAAGAAAAATTTGCAGACCCTGTCTCTATTTAAAATAGAAAAATTAGCCAGGCGGCGGTGGCACGCACACATTAGTCCCAGCTACTCGGGAGGATGAGGCAGGAGGGTCACTTGAGCCCAGGAGTTTGAGGTTGCAGTGAGCTATGATGACGTCGCTGCACTTTGCCTGGGTAACAGAGTGAGACTCTGTCTCAAAAAAAAAAAAACAAAAAAACAGAATAATTTGCTTTTCTCTCTCCATAAGCAGTACATTTCTCCCTGGTGCAGGTTTTCACTTCCCTGAGTAAACTGTGACAGTACAAATGCTGAAGGTGAGTCGCACTGTGTAATTATGAAAATCCACAATGTAGAAGGGCAACATTGCCCTCACAATATGCCAAATGAGTTCAAAAGCCCGAATCCTGAAGGCTGTCCAGGGGAGCTTGAGAGAGAGAGAGAGTAAACATCCGGGTGACTCTGCTAATCCTTGGGCCCAACAGTGTGAGTGGCAGCCCAACATCCCAAGCAGCAAGTCCATCACAAAAGACAGACGCTCTAGGCTAGTATTACAAACCCGGGAACACTGCCATTGCTATTCAGGGATTGTATGTGGGCAAGGCAACAATGGCCCAACTCTACAGGCCAGGAGGTGCCTTTTCCAGGGATACTCAGCGCCTTCTGCGGCAACCTCTCACCCAGGTGACAAATAATTCATAAGAAGTGTTATAAAACATGCCTCTAGCAATGGCTGCTTGCTTCCTCTCACTCCTAAAAATCATTTATTTTCCTAAAACTGATCTTCAGTCTAGCCCTTCATCTTCATGTTGGATTTCTGACAGACCATGAGGCTCAGGTTGATGGTGGTGTGCCATTTGCTGGGGGCTGTAAACTACTTCAAAAAGCTCCCAGTCTGTGCCCGGATGCCACCTTTTTGCCAAGACAGGATTTATACCTTACAGAGGGACTAAAATCTTAAATAACTGTCAGAGTCCATATAGTAACACTTAATCAGGGACCAAATAATAAGCACTATGGTAGTTTTGAGAGCAAACAAATATTATTAGAAAATATTAGAAATATTAATAGAAAAATTTCGGATTTTTCTAATAAAACCCCAAGATGAGATGACAGCGTCAGGCAGTTTAGGGGAGCACTGCATCCAAAGTGAGTGCAGAGACCTAGTCCACAAAGGGACAAGAAGCTCATGAAGGTGAAGTAGTGGGTAAGTTATTCACATCTAAGATGATTTCCCCCAGGGAGGAAAGAGAGCCACCAATTCATCACTCAGTGTTGCCTCTTCTGTTCACTCTCCTACCAGTGTGCAAATCAAGTTAGTTTAAATTAAATCCAAACTCAGCATACGTAATTTGAGTGCTTCCTTATCACCACCAGATCTCATACCATGCAAATACAGAGGTTCACATGCAACTGAACTCTGAGATAAGCTCTGTGCAAAGAATTCTTTAGCCTGGCTGAGCTTCACACATGACATCTAACACTAACTTAAATCTACTTTCACTCAAGAGTGACTTTTAATTCCAGGTGAGGGCCGGGCTCCGTGGCTCACACCTGTAATCCCAGCACTTTGGGAGGCTGAGACAGAAAGATTGCTTGAGGCAAGGAGTTTGAGATCAGCCTGGGCAATATAGTAAGACCTCTGTCTCTACAAAACATAAGAAAATTTAGCTGGGTGTGGTGGCGTATGCCTGCAATCCCAGCTACTTGGGAGGCTGAGGCAGGAGGATTGCTTGAAGCCCAGGAGTTGGAGGTTACAGTAAACTATGATCACACCACTGCACTCCAGCCTGAGTGACAGAGTGAGACCCCGTCTCTTAAAAAAGAAAAAACTCCGGGGGATCCCTAAATTCATTCTCACTTATATATTAGGCCAGAAACTAATCTCAGATTTCTAGGAGCGAGAGTCCAAGTTAGTCTGAAGGAGGCTGAGGACCATAGTGACGAGAAAACTCTGGTCCTGAAACCAGCCCTGACATTTGAATCACAACTTCTTAGCTCTGAGACCTGGAGCAAATCAATTCACTGCTCTAAGCCACTACTGGCTTCTCGTTAAGTAGGGAAAATGATACTACCTATTCTGTAAGGCTATAGTTAGATTTATGGACGTAAGACCCACAGGAAGCTCTGAGTGAATGGGAGATAAAGACACCATTACTATTTGTTTATATTAGACCCAGAGATTCTAAGAATGGAAAATGACCAGACTAAAAGCTCACCAGTTTCTGAACTTCGAATTCTGCAGTTATGTGCCCATGTCCCTCCTCATCGGTGTATAACATCACAACATCGAAAGCAGAAGCTGTGGCAACAGTTGCATCTTCCCGGCTGAGGGCTATTGCCTGTATTCTTGCATCGTGCTCAAAACGGTGAATAGGATACTTTCCAGTCCTTAGATCCCAAATATTAAGAAATCCTATGTAGAAAGAAACAATTGCAGGTAACAATTTTTAATTTAATTAAAATTAAGTACAACTATAAAATATCATCCCATATAAAGAAAATTGTAAAATAAATGATAAATTGGTAAAAAATATTTACCTCACATATAACAAAAAGCCAATTTCCTTAATATATAAGGGGCTTCTGAGATTCAATAAGAAAGAAAAAAAAAAAAACAATTGAAAAGTGAACAAAGGACCATGAGGATGCTGAGCACAGAAAAATATAATGGACATTTAAACATAAGAAAAATGTAAAAAGTCACTCACAATTAGAAAAATACAAATAAAAACTGAAATATGATACCATTTTTCATTAATCAAATTGTCAAAAATAAAAACTTTCATGAAACATTTTGTTGTTATAGAGAAATGGGCCCTCTCTTAAATTGTTGGTGAGAATGTAAACTAATTCACCCACTGTGGAGGCAATTTGATAATATTTATCAAATTACAAAAGTATGTTTTTTAACCCAACCATATATTTATATATGTACACAAGTAC